AGAGTATGTGTCACACGCACTCTGCGCCGCATACAAACGAAGCGTGCGCATGTGTGTATGTAACAGGCTCCGTACATTTCGCGCTATCCCGCTCTGTTGTATGTCGTATATATGGTATAAATTCGCTTCATTCGGCTCTATGGACTGTGTACACTATGGATACTTAGAGCGGAATGAAGCGTTTATGAAGCGCGTTGAGCGCAAGTTACAAACGGGTCGATTGTGAAAAAATGTGTTTATTCGTATTTAAACACATGCATTCGCAATGCTTCCATACAAAATATATGTAAACATTCGCAGTGGCATTCGTAAATATTCGAAAACAAACTCATCATTTGTATTTTGTACAATCGGCGGCTCCGAATATTTCAATTTTACACATTGGTTTTGGGAAAAGTAGAGAATGCGTTGAAATAACGTAACGCATAAAAATTATCAGATATTTTTCTGCGATATTTCTATCCCATATGAATAAAAATATCCCATAGTATTCTCTGGTTATAATCAAATGTTTGACGAACAGAACAATCGCTTGTTTCGTCTCTGTTGAAAAATAACACGCACTATACATTGCACACACAAAAAACGTTGCCAATGTGTTTGTATTGTACATATAAAAATACAACAAGTAAGACACTAACTTCTCATTATGTTCATTCATAATCGCTCATTTAGTGCGCGTCATTTTTCAACAGATTTTAATTGTAATGATGGCTCAGTCAATGGGAAGTCAACGATTTTTATACACGGGAGTTTATGGACGATGGCTCAACCAGGCAAAGAGAAATAAAATCAAAACAAACTTCCCATATAGTATTTTATTCTTTATTTCACCGCTGTTTGTAAATTTATTACACAATTTCTTGTTGTTTAATTTTTACGTTCAATCTTATAATAATCCGACCTCTCATTTAGTGTTAACGTCCATTTGTCTTCTATACGAGACTTTAGTGCATCCATGTTTCCAGATCTTTTAGCAAAACCATATTTAAACAACTTAAGATTCTTTAAATGTTTGCTCTTCTCCAAAAACCGAATTAAATTTTCCACATCGACGCCATATTCACATGAAAAAGTAGCTTCAACCAAATTTGGTACTCGTTCGCTGAGCAAGATAAGATCATTGTCGGATATTCCCGAAACTCCTACAAGTCCAAGTTTGCTTATATTCCGATGTGGCTTAATGAAATCAAGCCAATTCGGGAATGCACCTTGATCACAATAGAATTCTTCAAGGTCGTCGAAAGTGATGTTTTCCCCATGGAAACTGAATAGTGAAAACCCTTTGACATTTTTGAAGTGAATCTCGTCCGTATAGTCTACGTATCTGATGGGACCAAGAGTCAGACCATCTAGATTCACCAAATGTTCGCTTGCAAATTTAATATAGCTTCTGTTAGTGTTACTGAGGATAAACCCTTTGAGTTGAGGATTTTTTTAAATAAAATTCTTAAATTCGAATCGGTCAGAAATCTCCATAAATTCTAGTCTGAAAATCCTCAAATTGGGAAGGGTAATGTTGACACTATCATAGTCTTTTAGTTCAACGTATCGCAAAGTCAAACTTCGTACATTGGGAAACATTTCGTTCAGATTCAATGTTTCACTTCCCAATTTGTTATATCGACCAAAGAAGGCCAAATCCTTTACTGTGTAAAATATCCGTTGGACGTCTTCCAACGTATCCCAATTCTCGCTGCTATAGATACTTAGCTTCGTCAAATTGGAACATTTTTGATTCAAAAGAGTGATAATCTGCTTCAGTTGACTTTCTTGATCTGATTCATCATAAAACATAATTCTAAGGTCTAAAATGTGTGATCCGAAATGTTTGAGCACCAGCACAGTCTCTTCATAACGATAAACAATAATCGAACCGTCAGATACTTGCACTTCATAATCATCACCTTGTTCGATTTGAATGTATCTATTTGCGAATTTTCGTCTGAAGACATCTGCAGCTGCCAGTGAGAACTCTTCACTGATATTAGCCGCATAGACCAACCCGCGGAAATCCATTTGTTCTAAGTCTGTGAGATTTGTTTCGTTTGTCTGTAATTGAGAAGTCGAAAAATACGGTTTAATCAACTTGATTTTTTTCATTTGAATGGTTAATTAAGGTTCACTGTCTACTTTTTTACCACTTACATTAAACGATTGTATTTGCGTTGCAGAAGCACCGGCATTGATTGAACAACCGCACAGGATAACGAACACTAGAAACAAACTTGTTTCCATTTTGCTGAGGGATTTTTATTTCGCGACGCACAAATGGCAAATACTGCTTGGAACGCAACTTTGCCTTCTGTTATACTTGTTGATTATTCTGTCGTTTTGTCTTAATTCGTTGACAATTTGCTACTTCTTTCGAATAACGGTTATTGATCACGTACCATGGCTTAAATATATTTGCTTATATACATGTGTGAGCTCGTTGAGCGTTTTCTTCAATCGGTTTCTTGTTTTTTTGGCATTATCGCTTCGTGATTCTTTGAAATTGAATGTTACTCTCTGTTATCATCACAACGACATTCGTATTCATTGTACGGGTATGAGGGTATTTTTATTGATAAAAATTGTCTCGTTTTGAAATTATGATGTGTTTCGTTTTTGTTTTCTTCTAATGTTGATGAAACTTTTTTTTAAAATTCGAACGCTTCTAAGACTATCGTGTACTTTGATTAGGCAATTTTCACTTCACTGTGATTTTGGTTCGTTTTTGTTACCAATACCAGCATTGGCGTGACGCTTTGTATAGAATGTATGTTGAACGTTCACATACAGTACATGTAAAACATCGCGCTAATTTCAAACGAGACCAAGACATGCATGGTCAGAGAGAACAAAGAAAACTCTCACTTCTTCCAAAAATGAATTACGAAAATCAAAACTAAAATGTGAATTTTACAGACAGAAGAACTAAATACACCAATTTTGATCGATGGTTTTGCGATCTCATTTCATAATTTTAGTTTCAGTTTGATTAATTGCCGCACTAACGTACAAATAATTAAATTTGCTTTATCATTAGCTCGACACATTTATTTCATTTTTTCTAGTCAGTTTGCAAATCACGCTTTGGATTTTGAATTTTGTCTTCTCATGATCCTTTCAATGTTCATCTTATCGTTCTTATTTGGTTTGAGATGAAAATCATATCAACGTATTTCATCTAATTTCCATGAGCCATTGCTGAGTTATGATCTAGGGGAATTTAACTCTTACGAGTTCAGCATGTTTTCTGCCAGTTTGCTTGATTCGCGGAAGTTCGACGCGTTCGTTGTACGTACTGACGCGCACGGTCACAAGTTTTCACAAGTTTGTTTATGGTTTTGCGCGTTTTTCAAGTTTTTATTTGACAACTAAAACGCGTTTCAAACTAAAAATCGGTTGTTTACGTGTATAAAGATTTTTCACATCCTTTCCAAAAGTTCAAAGATTTATATAATTATAAAATGGACAAAGGAAATATTTTTAAAGAGCTGGAGAAAGTGTTGGAAGAAAAAGTTAATCCAGATATAAATGGAACGACTGATGTGTGCGCGTCGCGTCGTCCAGCTTCATGTTTGCACACGAACTCGCACAAGTTCGCGCATGTTGTTTTAATACGGAACTTGTCATTTGAGTGGAATCATGCAAGTTCTCTGGTGAATGTAACAATTTCGTGCGCGTTTTTATCATTTTTTTACAAGTTTTCACGTAGTTAAATCCCCCTAGGTTATGATATTGATGCCACCACCTAGGGGGAAAGAGCTATTGGTATATTTATTTTATTGACACATATTGACAAATATTCACAGGCACTTGCGCTGCGTTCCGTAGTGTTATTGTTGTTGTTTTCTTCTGTTGCTTCGTCTCGTTCGTGGCGAGCAGGAATGACAGTTGCAAAACGTACATTTTATTGACCATTTTTGCATGCATTCGCAGCTAGTTATTCAGCGCATTGACACGCATTGACGCGTATTGATCCAAACTCTGTAGAATATGCGATTATTTACAATATTTATATTTTCATTTACTCAGTTCTTCCCCCTAGGTTATAGTCAGTCAGTCATTTTTTTTCACACGGGATGTTTAATATCAGAGTCATCTATATCCGTCTATTCTCTGTTTAAACTGTTCGAATTCTATGAATTCGTTGGTTGTATGTGTAATGGAAAAATTCCGCATGGAAAAAACTTGAACTTCCGACTGGAATTCGGCAAAAATAATGGTCTATTACAAAGACGTCAAAAATATTTTTCCTTAGACCAAAGATACCAAATAAACGAAGTTCTTCAAGTGTTTCTGATTTTATTTGGATAAACAAAAATACGATTCTCAACCTGCAACAATGTCCCTATATTTTATTCGTAAAAGTAGCCCGAACATTTTTCTTTGAATCAGAATCTTTTGAAAATATGAATATATAATATATCATTTCAGTCTCTGACTCACACCTGTTAACGTGAATTCCAAATACTTGCACAACGACATTTATATTCAGAGGTTGGTTGCAGATAAATTTATTTATATAAATTTCAAATATCAAATAAATTTATCCGATATTTTTCATGCGTTGTGTTGTTCTGACGCATTCGTAGTACATAAACGAAACATCGGCTGTTGTATTGGCAGCCAGCTATTCATCGCAGGAATGAGATTTTTGTTTTGTTCATTTACCGATATTTGTGAACAAGTCTACCACTGTGTCACTACATAGTATATATAGTCCATAAGAAATGTGCAGAGACGAAAATGTTCGCCATTTAGTTTTACATTGCCAATACATTAGTTATGGAGATTTTTGTTTTGTTTATTTTCTGTTGTTTGTAAACAAATCTGCATATCTTTTTGCATTGTCTCTACACACTTCTTGTGGACATATACTATGTACAGTGACAATACATCTCGGTCCAGCCAATTTGGCAATGCTTTTTTTTCGGTGCAGGACTTTTATTTACTTTGTGCGGTGATAATTTTGCTTTCCTTATTGGTGTTGGATCAACAGTGTTGGTCTAACATTGTTGGTCGAAAAACAGTCAAAAAACCTTTAACCATCGATCTTTCTTCAGTCCTTCTACTACCTTTCCTATCTCTTTCCATATTTATGCACACCTTCTCTGACATTTTCTCTCTTGTTTCATATTTTTCACCTTTTTGCCTTCTTTAGTGGCCTTTTTGTCTTCTTCAGTCACCTTTTTTGCCTCTGAGTTTATCTTGCTTCTTAAAGCTTAGTTAAGAGCTGAAAAGGCAAGAATTTACTTGGTTTTTGTGCATACCTTAAGCCGTCAATATAACGTTTATCTTTAGTCAAAAACAAAAACACTCATTCGCAGTGTCTATGACGTTTCTATCTCTATCTCTTCTTCAATAAAACCCAAAATGATTGGTTTTATCGCCTATTTCTAATCATCCGCTTCAAAAAAAAAAAACAGCCGAGAGAATATTCCGCTATTATGTGCTATTATGCTTCTATTGCTTTGTTTTTCCATCTAATCACTCTCGTTTACCTCTCTCGAACAATTGGATTGGTACGAGCCAAATTTTATAATCAAAACCTAATGCGCTGTTATCATCTGTTGTATTTTTTGAAAGAAAGGCGACCAATCTTTATTGAGCCATAAGACAAAATGACCCCACATACATTCAAAATGGAGCGATAGCCAGGAGCGAGAAAGTCAGGCGACTTGATAGACTGCCATACATAAAGATGAACGTTTATCTCTCTTTTGCTTTTATTGTCGACGTTGTTTGCTATTGTTCGGGGTGTATTCTTTTTTCATGCGATAATTGCTATCATATGAATGAAATTCTTTGAGAGTGAAAAGAAAGCGGAGTGAAAAAAAATGCGCAGAATGACACAGTTCAAATTATTCCGATTAAAGAATCGGTTTAAATTGGTTATTTGGCTCTGTGAATTGGTACAATCAACTGAAAAAAAAAACTGTTTGATGTGATCTTCATCAATGTGAAGACATATTCCGCATTGATGATAGAGGTGACATACACGCTTTGTATTACTTTGATGCAGATAGAATGATCATGTGACTTTTACTCAAGTGGAAAAGGATCGATTATTTTTAACAGCTCAATGACAAGGCTTAAACATGTTTTTCTCTCCTTCATTTGCTTGTTTTTCGAAGATCGATCAGACAGAATTGTTTTTAATTGTCATTTTTTTATAGCATTCATGGAATTGTTTTCAATCAACACTTTTTTCTCTCAATTAATTGATTGGAAATATCAATTCAGAGAAAGTTCACCCGGGATATTTTTAGATTTATTAGCGACCCATTTCAATCCGCTTGATCCTATGGCGACATATTTCTGAAGGACGTCTACTACGGACTACTCCGGTGATTACAATCATTGTTCGGAAATTGTGACTTCTCCTTATGTCTAAGATTGAAATTGAAATAGACGAAATGTTATTGAATCTCAACAGTTAATAATTTGTTATTTGTTTAAACAACATGTTTTTGGCACACACAAAAAAACGATTATTCATGGAAACAATGATTATATTCGGTTTTCCATGATAATAATTTCACAATTTCATAGAAAATAAACAAAATCGCAATTTTTGATTTCAATATTTTGTTTTTTGTTTCTACGAAATTATGAAAGTTTGAACTGTCTGTTCCACATTTATCGTTTGAAATCCGGGAATTTTTATGTCCTTGTCCTCTTTGTTCTTCTTCTTCTTGCTTTTGTGCTCATTTAACAATATTTTCATTCAAATACATTCTTAGGCAATAGGCAATTTTAGATGTTCCTTCAGACATGATACCTAGCAAATTCTCGTTGTTCATTCCGGTCCAATTCCGACATTTAATGAAAAGTTTTGAGAAGCTATTTGGGTATTTTCCCGAAGAGAAACCCGAAATTTGCAACTTTTGACCACAAAACCTGAAAAATGAGCTTGAATTTAGCGAAGGCTCAGAATACAGTTTAAACATAGACGCTTGGAATTTGCCAAAAATATCGAAATGTTTGGTGAAAATGAAAGAAAAATTCAAATTTTGATGTTTTTGTCTTTCAGAATTGTTGCCTCATAAAATATGTTTTGAGCTAATTTCATGTTGAGTCGCAATCTCTTCCCATCCGTCGGCAGTTAATCGTTGAAGAGTTGATTTTACTTCGTTATTCTCGCATCCCGGAAGCGATGCTTTGTGTAGGCATTGACTGCCGAGACTTCTTTTTTAAGGAACAACGCGCGCATTAAGCATTTTATACATAGTCAACGATACGGTGGATCACACTTGATCCACCACAATGCAATCAATATTAAGACAAATATAGTCGGAAAAAAATACATAGAATTTAGGCTTATTTGAATGCACCACCGTTCAGTCTCTCGCTTATTCGTTGCAATCAACGTTTGATTCGGCG